ATGAACCCGTTGAGGCCGTGTGTCAAAATATTTATGAGTGATGTAGGAAGTGGTGTAAAATTATAGTGTAGGAGGTCTTTTGCTAAAAGCTATGACACTAATATAAACATTTATACAGATTTTTATGAAAAATTAAGAGAATAATTTTAAAAGGTATAAACCTATAAATCAACAAGACGAAAAAGAATGGACAGTAAAATACAATGAGTTGCGAATGAGGAATTGGTTCAGTGATAACACCGGCGTTATCAAAAAAAAATACATTGACTAATTTTGGATATTGAAAATTATTCCAAATGTACTTAAAAAAACAAAATACACATTAAAAATTACACGACTGAAATTATTTTTTTTATACATATATCACTTTGTTAAAGATGTTATATAATCGTTAAATTATTAAATTCATATCTCTTGAACAACCCGCACACCGTGCGGGGTACACACTAGTAATTAGTAAAAGAGAATTAGGGTTTTCATTTTTGCTCGATTCCAAGTTACAAACCATGCACCAACCTCTCCTAATTTAACCCTCTTTGTCATTCTTTCTACATCCCTCATTTTGAATTTCCAGTACCATCATGGATTCATTGATAATAGAAAATTATTAATTACTCGATATTATTAATTTATAGATAATTAATTTTAGCAATGTTTCACTTTATATGAATTTGGTAAACTGGAAAGCTAAGAAAAGATATTGATTTTTTATTGGAATAGTTGAATCTTACTTCTTTTTTTTTTTTGGTTGGCGCTGAAAGATGAATGTTGTTGTCAACCTTTAATACATTTTACCCTTTCAAAACTTTTATGTATTTGAAAATGTACAAGTATAAAAGTTTAAAGTATGGTCCATATATAACAGTCCACCTAGGTTTTGCCTTACACTCACTTCTGACTTCCCACGCTCTTTCTTCTTGTCGCCTCCTCCATTTCCACTATCCATCTCATTCACCAACAGTTTCTATCGAACAATACACCCGTACCCTATACCTCATCTTCTTCAATTTTGATAACCATTCCGCCACCGATCCTTCCGAATATTGGAAGAAGAGAAGGTCGTGGAAAGGGTGTTGAATGCCTTCTTTGCCTGATGGGTGCTCATTTGATCAGATTAGGCCAAATTAGTATTGCTTCCTATGAATCTAAAGATGATCATTTCGGGCTACGTTATGGATCCCTACCGAAATCGGTCCCAAGTCCAAGCTCCTTTGAGTTCGTTGCTAAAAGTCATTCATCAATTCATACTCATTCGCAGAATGAATATCCTCCAATGTCAATCGCAATGCCGTCTGGACTGGGTTTGTCGTTGAGAGCGATACCCTGCGAGAGACATCTATCATAGTCTACGAGGGAGAAATTAAAGTTGGCAACTATTTCAGATTAGTTTGTATTATATACATGTACTTTTACGTCGATTTATTTTTGTTGCAAAGCCATTATCTCTCTTTCTTGAACTTGTTTTGGATTAAAAACAAAATAAAATAAAACGTCCAAAATGGCGAATTACAAATTGAGCAACAAAACATAACTGTTACCCCCGTGAGAATCCATCTTTGGCAATTTAAATGCAGTGCAAGATCCTCATTTACGGTTACACAACTTTAGCAAGCTTAATTTGATTATTTATTTTATGAATCGGTTCAACGTTGTGTGTTTTACGTAATAAACTAGTAATGGTCTACCTTGTGCCTTTTGGTTGCCTTTTCAGTCTTCCTTTTAATCGCAATTGGTATTGATTTTCTATTTTGTTAACAGTTATGATTCTCATGTCTATGATAGTCGGAAAATATTTTGTTAAGAGGAGATACTATTAAATAAAGGGAAAATCAACAAAAATTGACATAGTGATGGCGGCTAAACATAAAATAAATGAAGTAGATTAGGATTTTAAATTATTGGATATTTTGGTAATTTTAGTTTTTGATTAGGGTTTATTTTTCCAGCATCTCTTTTCTTATTTAAAGGTATCAACGTCTTCTTTGTACGTCAGTTGTTGTTGACTAATGAAAATGAGAGTTTATTCTCAAAACTAGTTTTCTGTGTTCCATATTATTGGTGGGCTGAATTTGTCCCAAATTACTTCTGTTCTATATTGCTGGTGATTGTAATTGAGCTTTAATCCCGGTTTTGTTCCATATTATTGGTGATTTCGTGATTAGGCTCTAGGTTTGGTTGTTCCATTGTGTTGGTGACCGTATTGAGGTTGGTTCTGATTGATTATAGGCTTCCACCTGTGTCACGTAGTAATGCACCCTTGGCAATGAGGTCGAAAATTTTAATCTTTCCGTCGATTTTCTCCAAGTGTAGCATTTGCACGATGCTGCGGATTAGCATGACTTGAGGAATTATATTCGGTGGCAATGACTTCTATTAATTTGGAGTATATATTTCTCTTTTTCTATTCTTAGATATTCAAAGAAACAAAATGGCCTTCACAAGTGAACACAGAGGGGTTGTTATTGAATGAAAGAGAAAGGAATAAATCCTTTAGCCCATGTGAAAAAGGCAGTCACCAAACCGCTTTACGGAACAAACTCATGATATTTGGACTATAAAAAATCAAGAATTTAGAGGGCGAATTGCATTCTTTAAGGCAAAATCAGCAACAAAGAAAATAATTGAGAATTGATCTATAAGGCTATAAGCCTAATTATTTGTACCAAAAATAAATAAATAAAATATTAGAGAAAGAAAAGGAAACGATATTTCCATGTACGTATCTTACTCTTATGGTTAGCTAGTTGTACTCAAAAATGAAAGCTTTGACCATTAGATATAAAGAAAGAAAAATTGAATGGAAGACTGGAAGGATAGACTATAGTGAGGAGAGTTTTTTTGTTCGTTTCTTTCTCCCATTTGCAGACTATAGTTTATATCCAATGGCTTCATATACAATGCGTATTTCTTAAAGCCCAATACCATCTACAAGGAGATAATGTGAATCTTTTTTATTTCACGTCTCTTGCTAGCCTGGTTAAAAGGTAGTCTTTAAGGTGATCATTTTGTAAGTTGCAAGTTGGAAGATTGACATCTAGTATCATCCTAGCTAGTGTTCAAGAAATAAATAGCCTTCACATTTAAGAGAAGAAAGAGGTTTGTTATTGAATTAAAAGAGCAAGGAATAAATCTAAACTCATTTGAAAAAAGGCAGTCCACAGACCACTTTATTGAGCGAACCTCATGAAATTAACCTCACGATATTTGGACTAAGAAAAAAGAATTAGTTGCAACAAACTAAGAGAGAATGACACCAAATGATATTTGCGTTTTATCACATGAATTTTTTTTGTTAAGCTTGCTAGATGTACTTAAAATGTACAAATTTGCCAGGTGAATGTTCACACAAGATCTGGAGTAGAGGTTTTTCCTACACCCACTTCCTAATTCCTACATATTCTCCATCCCTTCTTCACTTTTCTTCTGGAGCAAGATAGACAAAGGAGTGCTTTTTTTCATTTCCCTCTTGTCGTTGTTTTTTTTTTCCGTCCATGATGCGGAACAGCCTTTTGCTTTACTGATGTTAAGATCATATCAACGAAGTCGTTGCTTTACTGATTGTTTCTCGGGTTACAGGATTGGTCAATTCCATGCTTGCTTGAGTTCCTTATCCAAATCCGGAAATTGTTTGATGTCACAATAAGCTTCCTTGAGTTCCTTGCTATCACGAATGAATGGCAGAATTTTTTTTCTCTTCTTAATGCTGAAGAGAACTGATACGTGTCCAGGCTGCTTGCAATGTTTTTCAGCTTTCTGAAGGTTGAAGACAATACAAGACTAGACTTCCGCTTCCTGCGTTTCCTCACTATTGAGAAGTAAGGATTCGGTCAGGCTAGCTCAGCTGATTGATATGTCATATGAGCTATGTTAAGGATGTACTGATGATTTTGTAATCATTTCTTTGGACTAAAGTATATAGTGATCACTATATCGTTCTGGTTGCAGCAATGTTTAGTAGCTATTATTCTAAGTAAGTAGTTGCCAAAAGTAAATAGTTGCACGTACGTTTACACAGGAAAAAACTAATCGCTATGGAAAATCGCAGATGATTCATTTTGATCACTATGAACGTCATGCTTTGGAGGATAGCCTCCATATCAGCAAAGGAATTGTTGAATGGCCATAAAGTTGTGCAGAAAACTGAATAGAATCATAGACCCCATCCGCTTTACAACACCTACCAAAATTATTCGCTGCGGTTGTCCTTTCAAGGATATTGTTCAATGTAGTGATAGTGGAGCTTCATTCTATCATTTGGGTAAAATTTACTTAACTCCCTATATTTTGACTTTTGTGGATATTGTATTTGTTAAATCATTCGTAGGTATTAATGCTTAAATTTAGTGAAGATGATAGATGCGAGGTAACCTCAGGGAGTTTTTGCAAGCCACAAAAAGGGCACTCAGTCATGAATCCGAAAAGCATGTTAATCATGTCATCATTTTTTTTTCAATTATGTTTCAAACCAAAAACAATTTTATTAATAACAACGAAAAAAAATAAGGCAGCAAATATACTAAACCATATATAATTATATTTTTGATCCTAAAGTAAAGTTGAATCTTTGTTCAATCTAACAGACCGACGAACTTGAACTTTCTTTTTAGTCTTGGCATTTTTCAATCGATTATGGTATATCGGTGCCGAGGTTTCACTGTAAACAGACTCTCGTTCCAATTCCCGTTGCATGTCAAAGTCTGCATCCTCTGAATCATTAAAAGTATGATGTTATTCTCCATCGGAATGGATTTGTTTATTCGAAAAAATTGCATCGGAAGACTCAGTATTCTTCACTAATTCGATATCATCTTTGGAGAAGAATTGTTGTGGGGCTGAAATAGGAAGTAAAACGTGTAAAAGTGGGATTTTTAACAGAGGAGAAAAGGTATATTCTTGAGCATTGGGATTTAATTTTTTAGGAGAGATGTTAATAGAGATATTTGAGGAAGATATTCCCTCCTTATTTGAAGGAGAAGACCGCGTCTCAACAGCAATTGATTTCACCTTATCATCTTTTGAAATTGAAGGTACTGGATCAGCGGGTGTTGACTGCGAAAAGACGCAGAATCCTCGGAAATTAGTTGCGTTGACGGAGGCTGCGCAAAAGATGGAGTTTCCACCATTGATTCTCGCCGGTTTTCCTTATCTCCTGGTGGTGGAATTTGACCTCTGCTACTGGTCAGAGGGATCAACAATTGACGCGTCTCCGTTGCAGCATTTCGCGGATCAGCATCATATCGTTGATTAACAGCACCATTTTCAGTCGCATCAAGGGTCGCGACAAGGGCTTCAGTCGCAACCGCAGCAGGGGTCGCGACTAGAGATCCCGCGTTTGTTGGAACAACAGCCGCAGCAACGATGTCGACTCGTTGAGCAGAAATTTTGCCGGCAGTGCTGGTGTCCAGAATCGGCCTAACCCGCTGAGTCTCCAGAGACTCCCTCTGAACTTCCTAATTCGCCGGCGGTAAGGTTTGTCCTCCATGAGCGATGTCGGCCTGTGCAGCAATGAAGAGCGGGGAGCGCGCGGAATCCACGATCTTTGGAGCAGCAGTAGCGGTGACTTGTTTTCCAAAGACCGCATCAGCAACTATGGAATCCGTCAGTGGCTGAACAACTGCAGGCCGGTTCTTCGATTGCGCTTCCAAGGGTTTTATCACAGTTACTGGATGGCTTGGCTTATCCACGACCTGCATGTTTGCGCCCTTTCCTTGTGAATGTTGTTTTAAGCTTGGTTTCGGATGATTCGATTCCAACTTTTGTGATGATAATGGAATTGTATGATGACAGGAGTGAATATCATGACCAATTTTCTTACATTCGACACAATATTGAGGGGTGTTTTCTTAGAAGATTGATTAAAAATAAGTCGACCCCTCAACTCTCAGTTTGATTCGAATAGGATGCTCCTTGAGATGATCCAATTCTACACAAACTCGTGCTACCAATGGCTGCGACATGTTGAGAGTTGGGACGTCAATTTGAAGGGGAGTTCCAATGATACTAGCAAGTTTCCACAAGTATTCCTTGTTGAAACGACCAATTGGGAGGCCTTCTAGGGAGATCCAAACCGGCACAATGGAGCTTTCGTGTGATGGATTAAAATATGTGGTTCAATTCAGGACTCGCATTCGATGCGTGTCAGAAGTCCATAAACTTTTGAGCCAGCATCGATAAAAATCTTCCTCTAAATCAAAGTAAATGAAACTATGCCAGTAATCAATCGATACAACGGAAAAGCTTCCCTTGAACCAATAGTTTGGAACTCTCTTCGCAAAAAATCTATTTTTGGCCGGCCTTTTGTAAATTTAGCTACAAGAGCAAGGCGAAAGGGTGCTGCCAATCTATCATCCTCTTCTACTATAAGAAAAAAAGTGGGCTCGCCTTTGAAGGTCGTTGGTTCGGAATGTATCACAGTCGGGTTTTGATGTAAATTTTTGGCTGAGTATTCATGTATGGTTTATGGATTTGCCCCAGATCCTTGAATCCGAGCAAAACAGGGCATTTGATGATGTTTAATTGGTGGTATCGCCGGCCATAGGAGGAGTAGAAGAGAGAGTCTAGAGAAGAGAAGGGAAAATCTGTAACAAATAGCAAAACATTGATTGGAAAGTTGTCTCTAAGGAGGTAATTTTCCGAGTTGATGCAAGTTTCTTAATTAAGAAGGGAGTTTTGTAGGGCTAGGGGGTTAAAATGGTATATTTTTCTTCTTTGTTATGATAGTAATTTGAGTAGTAAAAATGAGGGATTCATGAATCATGAATGTGGGAAACTGGAAAAGGCCGAGAAAAGATTTTAATAATTGATTGGAATTAGCTTGATCTTATAGTTCATTGTTTGATTTTGCGTTTTTTGTTTTTTCAATGTTTATTTTGTCATAAACGTTTCATTTTTCCATTGCGTAACATAAGTACAAGAAAAATGACCTTTAGTGGAGGACTATCACACATAATGTATTGCCTTTTATTTTTTTGGTTATTACGCATCCGGTTTTCGAATTCATTGCTCTGACTAATCCGAATTTGAGCCAGGTACATATGTCCCTTTCAGGAGGTAAAACTCTCCCAATAAGTATTTTAAGCACTACTGCATGCCTGTGTATTGCATTTTATAAATATACAAATATCTACCAGCTGAATTTACAAGTAAATAAGTATATAAAAGCAGCCCACGTTCTTTGTAGCTTTCGGTTCACTGACTTCCCAGTACCAATATTCTTTTCTGGCCGCCTCCTTCTTCTTCCCACGATTTTCCATCTTCACAACTGATCCACTACAAATACGCAGATCTGACCCATCAAGTTTAAGTCTTTAATAGGGGGCCCTCTTTGCCTGATGGGTGATCATTTTGATTTTGATATGCTTAGGCGAAATTAGTATTACTTTCTATGGATCCACCACAGATTATCATTTTGGACTATGTTATCGATTTGAACCGAAACTGGTCTAAAATCCAAGCTCGTTTGAGTTCCTTGCTAAAATTATTTCATCCACTATGGTATCTCTTTCCTGCAGCCCCTCTGCGCTCCAGTGATAGATTCGGATACCTTCATGGTGTGTCCTGATTGCTGACGTTGCTGTTGAGAAGGCTGATTAGTTTGCTTTTGAGCAAGGTGAAAAACATGCTAAAGTTCACAAATGTTTCGATACTAGGAATGGTGAAATTATCAATGCCCTGTGAGATCCTCATTTACGAGGACCTATTTTGTGAGTCTCCATCTCGGATGGAAATGACTTTTATTTTGTGCATCTTATTCATTTCTTTAACTATTCTAATCCATTAAGTGAATGAATTTTCGTTAAGATGATTGATCTGATGTATGTTGGATTGCGTTGATGCCAATTTTCATAACTATTCTAATCCATTGAGTGATTGAACTAGGTTCTCTATAACTCACTTTCCCATCTCCACTCCTTCTCCACGGCCACGAATTTTTATCCTTTGGCCACCGTTTTTAAACCACCAAATTAATCAGATCTTCTTCATCCACAACAACCCAGATTGGATCCATTCGAATGCTTTATAAATTCATTATTAGTTAGCGAGAAAATGGAAGACTACTACTGGATGGGGGAGAGCTTGTAGAAATGTGTTTTGGCTTTTCCTTCCTTTTGCAGAACTGTTTCTTCATTTTTCTTCTTTCATAGATGATCATTTCATCGGATGAGTTTGGTGAAGTGGTATTAGCCAATGGCCCATAATGTGACGGTCAGATTCGGTAAAAAGTTGAAGCTCCGTTAGCTAAATCTTAGCCATCCATGGGTCTTAATACCTTATACAAAAATTGAGTTCCAGCACTCCGATTCATTCCATCCTAATTTGTTCAGTTCATCCCATCATCTTTATAAAATTGTCGCTATTCAAACAGCCCGAGCTTCGTTTTCCTCTGACTTCATGAAAATTTAGTAGTATTTCGTCATGAAAATAATGATTTATAACTATTTGTGACGACCATTAGGTAAATTATGATCCGTTAGTGAAGCGTTGTAATTGTTTACCATATGTACCATAGAAATATCAAATTATTTACTTGGTAAAGATGAAATTATCAAATTTGGGGTGGAAAACATGGTACGGATGATCACTTCCCGCTGAGCTACCAAGATAAGAAAAACGATATTTTGCATGAATCATGACTCTCTTTGGTTTTGAAACCCTTTTAATCAAACCATAAAAAAAATAAAAAGAAAAAAGACTAGTTTATCATTACTCTAGTAATTAGCAAAACAGGCCACTTCCTCTTTTGATTAAACATGCAAGAGAAATAGGGTCTCTTGTACACACTTCCCTGTCCCCATACTCGTCTCCCTGCCTCCTTCTCTCCAACCTCTCCCATCCCTCGACCTCTTCCTGTTTTCTTCATCCCTTCAAAGATGATTTAGAACACCGACGATGTTGAAGGTTTCGATGATCGGACAGAAGACGAGAAAGCGGGAGAGCGTAAGCATAATGCCAAGTAGGAAGTGTTTGCTTCTCATTCCAGATGGAGGAAGAGCCCTACGGTATTATTGCTTATCTTTGTATGGAAGTATGGACGATAATTTATATGCTCCGTTAAGTCGAAGCTTTCTTGAGTTCCTAGCTGAAATTAATACATCTTTATGCATATTTCTCAAGTTATATTTGTAAAATATCAATTAATGTTTTTGTATTACTTTGTATGGATTATAGGTTCTGGCTAAATATGTGTAGTCATTCTTGACATGTAGATGCAATAAAAAAAAATCCGGTCAAAATTACGATTCATCATAGACATATGTGATTGATCAATAAGTTCCATTCTTTATTTCAAAATAATAATAATAATAATAATAATAAGTTCCATTCTCAGTTTTGGAAATTTAATCTAAAAGATGCGCGCTTTGAAAAAGAACAAAGTCTTCGGGTTTGTACTTAATAAGTTGAAACTAATCGCATATAAGCAAGGACCGGTCTAGGATTTTGATTTGGATGTGTGAGAAAGACTCCATATCTCATCGTTGAGGGCAGTTCACTCTTACAAAATGAGCCAGCTGAAACTGATAAAATTCAGGAGACGGGCCAAATAATTTCCTCTTCCGACATAAACTTAGCACCAAACTTTTTATTCTGAATTTTTTTTATCGTTTCAAACCCTGAAAATGCATCCTGTATGCAGCGTGATAAATGGAGTGAATTGTAAAAAATGCTGACTAAACCAGGCAAAGCCTGGAGGGGATAACCCCTTTATATTGATTAAAAATTAAATTACATAAAAAGAAGGGTGTATACACACCTTTGAACGGAAATAAAAAACTGCATCTAAACATTCTCATCAGCTTCTTAGAATTCTGGCATTGAGAACTGATCCAATTTGAATTGTCAGTTGCGATTCTCACTTGCTCCCCAAAAGCAGCTTCCTTGCAAAGATGAGTCCTTGATTTCAGTTCTAGTCCTTATAACTCACCATCGGAAGGACACTTCTGTTGCCGACTTCACCACGAACGACTCGAGTACGTACCAAATTCCCTGTTTAAGCTCCGGTAATATTCCAATCTGCCAGCGGTTACCAATTTTGTAACTCATAACCATTCAGTCATAGAGAGATTGTTGTGGCTCTTAGAAACTTTGTGGCACAATATGCACACAATGGATCTACAATTATGATGAACATATGAGCCAGTTTGGTCTCTTGTTAAGAGCCTTTCACACCACAAGCACATTTTCAATAAACTTAACGTTTGGATACATTCACGTGCGCCAATTTGTCTTTTGTATCTCTCCATGTTATAGCTGTTCAGGCTCATAATCCAACATCGAAGGCAACGCCGAATCCGATTTCACTGTCCCCATCGTCGCGGCTTCCTTTGGTTCATTCAACGGAGTTGTTTTCGCTGACATGGGAAACAATGAGGGCGACGATCTAACCACCCTCAATCTCTGAAACAAACTCTTGTTGCCCTCCTCAGCTTCAACTTGAGTTTTAGTTTTATCCAACAATTCATGAAAACTAACGGCTGAAGATCCACCAAACATACCCGAATCCGCACCAAGTGAAGCTGCAACATTCAAGATCCCGTCGAAGTTTCCCGATGGACGGTGAGTATGGACCGGGGTGATTATGTTTCCAAAAAGGTTACTGACAAGGCATCTGGTGGGGCCAACAAGGGAATCCTTGAATATGTGACGCCGGCCGACGGTGTAAATCTCGACTTCAAAAAGCGGCAGTGGGGCTGTTGACGAATTCCGGCGAAACCCGGAAGAGAAACTTGTCGTTCCAAGTAGGGTTTCCATCACCGAGACAGTCCGTTCGAGTTCTTAGTTTCTTGGACTAACCATCATCAACCCAAACAACAGCATAGACTTCAGTCCTACCTTTGGTCTTCGAAGAAATTTTTAAACCTTGAGCTGACACGAAGTTGATTTCCAGAAAAAATTCACGGCATGTCTTCTTCTTCTCCTCCATCAAAATCACCCGGAAAAAGAATTTGAAATTTCAAGATTTTTTTCCCTTTTTCTTACTGTTTTCCGCCCGAAAGCTATATGAGAAGACCTACCGTGTGCATGTGTGTATATTTAATATGGATTGTGGTTTTTAGGAATCTTTCCGTAATGAATTCTGGAAAGGTAAGACTGTATGACGGTGCGGTTTACTTATTTGGAAACTCTTTTGACTTGACTACATTAGGCACCGACTAGCTATAGTACAAAATATGAAGTATACATTATTATTAACACAATCTCTCTTAAAAAATAAATTAAACTTATAGGTCTATCAGGTGAAAGGATGAAACAATCAGTAAACCCAGTTCTTTTCTTTTTAAAAAAAATTTACGGTAGAAGATTCATGATGGAAGGTGAAAAAATAATAAGATATTATTTTTTTCTTAAGAAACAAAAAAAAAAATAATAATAAAATAAAATAAAATTGGTAAGAACGTTAGTATTTATTATATAAATTTTGACGACAATCAAAAGTTATTTGGATAAACATAGCAACATACAGCAACACAAATAATAAAAAAAAAAAACTTTTTAAGTTTTCTACCAAATAACAGAAACTTGACCAATTTTCGAGTTTCAATTTTTTTTTTGGGTAAAAAAATAAATTGTATTGCTTTTTAAAAAACAAACTCGGTTTTTACAACTCCTAAATTTGAGCTATTTACATTTGAAAGCTAGGATTGAATCCTAGTTGCGTAAGAAACCGGATGTCATCGTTACTACCCGACGACAATGATACTTACATTTCCATTTGACTTCCTGTTTGATCTTCTCAACCTTGGCAGCAATGGGCTCACTCACAGCCTAAAACTTCCTTGCATTACGTTCCAACCAAGTATGATAAATGACTATATTTATACTTACAAACAGAACCTTCCTTCTTGTTGGTCTGTACTTCCAAACCCTGAGCAGTTGAGAGGCATTCAATGTTTTGAATTCTGAGATGATTCCCAGCCACTGTGTTACTTCTTTCCTCAGACCTTCTGCATAATCACATCTGAATAACAGGTGCTGATGAGATTCCTCTTCTTTACCACATAAACAGCAATTCAAATATGTGATCAGAGGCATCATTTTCTACAATCTGTCCATTGTCAACAACCTTTCTTTCCATGCAAGCCAGTTGACAAAGCTGTGTTTAGGGAGAGAGTAAGAACTCCAAATTATGCCGGCTTCTTTCTTTCTGGATGATTCCCCTCTTAGCCATTCATATCCACTTTGAGTAGGATACTGTTGAGCAGCTTTTGCAGCCATTTACCACTCTGAATTCCTGCCGCAAATTCATTTCTAATCTTCAACAATTTCCCCCAATGCCAGCTGCAATGACTTGGCACTCTATAATCCCAAATACTGCAAGTTTTTAAATAGTATATATGAATCCATTTGAGCCACAAGCTTTATTTTTTGCCTGCAATTTGCGAAAGCTGCTTCCCCAGCAAAGATCTATTCCAAGATCATTCTAAGCTCTATTCCTTGTTTTTATGTTAAGACCTCCTTCTTCCCTTTTCCTGCAAAGATCATTCCACACAACCAATGATCTAGTACTGCCATTCTCCTTTCTCCCTCAAAGAAATTCTCTGCAACATCTGATGATTTGCTAAATAATACTCTGTGGAATCAGAAAGATGGCATACCAATATGAATGCAAACTGATCAATACTGAGTTAATTAAGACAGTCCTTCTGCATACGATAGATTTCTTGATGACCGGCATTTGATCCTTGCTGTTATCTTATCTACCAGGGCCTGAACATCACCTTTATTCCATGAGGTTGGGGAGATTGGCATACCAAGGTATTTCATTGGAAAGCTCCCATGTTTATATCCCTATAACTCCTGAATTTTATCCTTCACATCATCAGTTTTGCCTCCAAAGTAGACATTAGACTTGTAAAGATTCACCTGGAACCCTGTTGTTTCTACAAATTGTTGTAGATTTTGTTTGATCAAAGCCACTGTTTGTACCTCAGCCCCACAAAAAATCAACAAGTCATCAGCCAAACTCAAGGAGAAAATTTTCAGTTTATGACAGTATGGATGATACTTAAATTCTTCCTGTGAAGCCATTCTTCTAAAAGATCTTGTCAAATATTCCATTACAAGTACAAAGAGGAGTGGAGACATTGGATCTCCTTGTGTCAAACCTCTTTGACCTGAGAAGAATCTAGTACTGCATCCATTCAGGTCCAATGAATAAGAGCAAGTAGTGACACAAGTCATTATCCACTGAATGAACTTGCTTGGAAAACCATACTATTGTAACAATTTCTTCAATAAAACTCCAATGAATTGAGTTAAAAGCCTTTTTCACAGCTTGGCTTTGCTTCCTTTCTTCTATACATTCTTATCAATTTTTAAGTCAGAAGTATGTTGTGCAAGATTTGTCTTCCCTAAATGAATGCCCCCTGGTTCAAGTCCACTAAGTCTGGCGAAACATGGCTAAGTCTTTTGCAAATCATTTTGGTGATGCACTTATAGATTGTGTTACAGCAGGAAATTGGTCTATACTCAGTGGCATTCCTTGGTGCTTCATTTTTAGGAATCAGAGAAATCAAAGTAGCATTGATTTGCCTTAACATCTTCCCAGTATTAAGAACTCCAATACAGGTGCACTGATCTCTTCTCCAATCTCTGGCCACATACTTTTATAGAAGCTGCTATTGAATCCATCAGGGCCTGAACTCTTTGATAATGTTAATATTAGCATGATATTTGTGGCGGTTTATGTGTTGTTTTGAATATTATCTATGCTAATATTAGTGTTTTGGTTCTTAATTTGATCATAGGAAGGATTTGGAATAAAAAGAAGAAAAGTGTTGAGTCAAGAAAAGTTTTTGAATATTTTATTGAATCAAGTTTCAAGTTGGAGAAATGGTTGATTCCCGCGTATGCCCACAAAATCCATGCCAAAATCAATGAAGGAAGCAGGAAAGTCCAGAAACGATGTTGTATTCCCACGTGGGCACGTTGAAACAGGGACTAAAGTGCAAAATTTTCCAAAGTATTGGGGTCAAATTTATAACTTTGGCAAACTTCAGGGACCAATCTGAAAATTCCAGAAAATTGAATTGCCCTCTGCGGATTTTGAAGAGGCTGAACGAAGGCTGCCCTATTAATACCATATGTACGTTTTTTTTTCATTATTAAGAAAGGGAAGAGAAGAGGCACAACACAGGGAGCGACGGCTGGAGCTTAAGACAAGGATTTCTCTCCGTTTTCGTCAGTTTTAGCTCTGTAGTGTCAAACATCAATTCTCGTGTTGTTGATTTCACCATGATTGGCAATTAAACCTCTTTTCTAGTTAAAGGATTTTATTAAAGTCTTGATGTTATTCAATTGTGAGATCTAACTGTTTGCTTTTCACCAACGAATTTTGAGTATTTATTTATTCTCTTTGATGTGTATTGATGATTATTTGACATTATTTGAATAGATGGTAGCATTCAATTCTCCTAGATAATCTAATTTATTGAACAACAAGGTTTGTTTGTTTCTTATAAGAGATAATGCAAATAATTATTTAGTAAGTAGTTTACTTGTGTTGTGATAATAAATAATCAATTTTTAATGAAACAACGGTTGTTTGTTAGAAATTGAATTGGGTCTTTGCTTGTCAAAAACTAAATTCCTAAGAGGTTCCAGGTAGTGTTTTTTGGCTATAGAGTGATTAATGAAGGTTTTTTAGTCACTGGTAGTTAAATAAAAAGACTGAGTTGTTAGGAGGTTTCAACAACGATAACTAATATATTCATCATTTGTTGAGTTAATCTTTGCATCAATGATCAGTTGGATACATCAAGGTAGAAATTATTACTTTGACTAGAGTTGCTCTTATTATTGATTTTCTAAAAGTATCTTTTATTGCTTGCAAATTATTTTTGTTATTCATTAGTTACAAATCCAAAATCTCTCCCATTTAGTTACTTTGCTTTTGATTAGAAATATTTACACTTCCTTGCTTCCTGAGGAGACAACTCTACTCATTGCTATACTACTTAATTTGTTAGGAGTAGAATCTTTTATTTTTGTTAGTTTGACATCCACCAAATTTTTGGCACCGTTGCCGGAGAGCACGGTCTAGAGTGATTTATTTCTTGTTAAAAGTTTGTTTTTATTTTTATTTTTATTCGATTTTATGGTGCTTTCTGATAATACAGATAGATTATTGTTTGATCCTGAGATAGAAAAGACAGCTAAACAGAACCGAAAGGAAAAGAGGAAAAGAGATTTACTTCTTAGTGTTACACCTGAATCTCAAGAGGACGATAGCCAAGAAGAAGAAGAAGAAAAAGAAGAAGAAGTTACAAGCTCTGAAAAAGAAAATTCTTATACATATTTACATATTTATTTTAAACACTTCTACTACTTTCTCTGCTTACTTCTCTAGATAATTCTTACTAATGGAGTTGGGTTTAATTATAATTAAACATAAATACTAATTGTCTAAGTCAATAACTTGGATAGCTAAATATTAATTAGTTAGACTGAATTTAATTTATTTGCTAACAGTATGTAACTAATAATACAAGTTATCAACCAGAGATGATAATCATAAATACTACTCCTTTCGTCCCAAAATAATTGTATAGTTTGAATTTTCACTTTTAGCATAATTTGTATTATAAATAAACAAAAAATCAAATTGGACATCATTTCGGGGTGGAGAAGTAAAAAGTAACCTCCAATCTGTCCTTCACCCGAAATGAAGAATCACAAAATAATTTAACCACAATGAGAAAAGAAGGAAGTTCCGTCATACCTACGTTGGAAAGTTTAACCGGCATTAGACC